AGATCTCCTTTGCAACCTTGTCCTTTGGAATAATTCCTTTACAATGTCAAGGTCTTCTTTCCAGACTAGCAGTTTCTGCTGGCTGCTGATTTTGGCATTGATTCTTTTAATCATAAGGGCTTGTGTGAGCTTTCTTTTCTTTTTCTTTTTCTTTTTTTAGGAAATAAAGTCCTGATTCTGCCTCAGCTGAGAAGCAGCTGAGTTTGCCAGCAAATCAATATCTGTTCTGACCTTGCTTGAGCCAGGCAATGAATATTCCATGCTTCTCTACCTCACACAGCGAAGAAAGAGACCATAGCCAGTGGCAGGGCACGTGTTTGCATACAGAAGGTCCCATGTTTAATCCTTGGTATCTCCAGTTATGCCTGGGAAAGATTCCTGTCTGAAACTCTGGAGAACTTCCATTGTGAAGACAGATGCAAAGAATTCATCCAGCTTCTCTGCAGTTACATTTCCTCCTTCAGCACACCTTTGACTCACTTGTTACCCAACAGCCATGTATTTAAAAAATGTTTACTTGTTGGCCTCTTTATGTTTTTAACGAAGTATTCATCAAATTCTTTTTTTTTAAATCCCTCGTGGTCTGCTCACAACTCTTTTGCTAAAGTTTATGTTCCTTTTTGTTCTTCTCATTTGGACAGAACTCCATTTCCTGAAGGAAGTCCTCTTACCTCTAATAGCTTCCATGGCTCTGCTCATTAACTATGCTGCCATCCTCTTGGCCCTGGTGGTACCTTTACTGATCTGCACTGTACATTCTAGCCAATCTGTTTTTGTGGTTTTAAACAGCCCCAAACCATTCTGGAGAGATTTGACCCTCTTGACTTTGCCGTTCCACTGTCTTATAAGCAACCCCTCATTTTGGGGGAAGTTTCCACTTTTGAAGTCAAATATGATGGTGTTGGACTTTCTTAGTAATTGTCCACTTACATGGCACTGTGATCACTGTTTCAAATTGGTTCAACAACACTTACATCTCACACAAGGTCTTGGGCGCCACTTGAGTTGAGGGTTGCCATCTCTCTGGTCAGTTCCATGACCCAAACTGTTCTAAGGCAGTTTAGGGTTTAGGGTATCTGGAAATTTTACCTCTTGGTTGTGATTGGGTGTATGCATGCTCCAATCTGTGAGGGTAGTTGGAGGTTGGCCATTATTATGACACTTCCTCCTTTAGGTGCCCCCTTTATTTCAGTCTCCAGGTCACCCTGGGCATTTTAGTTGGGAGGGGGTGATCATACATCCCCTGAATTAAATTAATCAGTGATCTTTGTAGAAGAGTTTGCCTTTTGGGGGACTTCTAGATGGTTGAACTCTTGTGTTCTCTTTGATACCACCTCCAGTGCACCCTTCCCTGAGGTCCTAGGGTTGAATGCAATCCTCCAAACCCTTTTAGTTGGCCCTTGGGACTTTCCCCAGATCTTGCACACACACACACACACACACACCCCTCTTGAGTGTTTGTGTTTGTCCTTGGACTCTGCTAATGCCTCTTTCTTACCTAGATGAAACATAGAGATGGGTGTGTGAGTAAGTGTAGAAACTACCTGACTGTACAAAGGTAACATATACATTCATTTCTCTGCCTTTTTTGTGTGTCTGGCCCCAGCCAGTTCTGGCATGTGGCCCCCAGAAAGTTACCAGAAAGGAACGTGCCCTTGAGCTGAAAAAAGTTTCACACCCCTGCTGTAGTTTGTATCCATATATAACTGTGCCCCACTGGTTCTCTCCATTCTACTAGTTTTACTTTATGTCTTCTATAGCTATGTTCTTCTCTTAAGACCAAGCACTGCTGCCCACTCATCTTGACTTAGACAGCCTTTCTCAATCTGTGGGTCCCCAGATGTTGTTGAACTACAACTCTCATCACCCCTAGCTAGTAAGGCCAGAGCTCAGGGATGATGGGAGTTGTAGTCCAACAACATCTGGGGACCCTCAGGTTGAGAACCGCTGACTTAGAAGCTTCCAGCATTTAGCATATAACACTTGTATATGGTGTCTTCCTCTTCGTAATTTTGGCACATGTGTTTTACCCTACAAATTGGCCTCAAGTCCAGGGAGAAGGATTCCTTTTGACTAAATTGCATGACCTGGTTTCTGCAGAAGTGACATGTAATAAATGGTTGGAAGCTCATACCTTATAAAGATGATTGATTAGCTGTAAGCAAACTTGCTTACCTGGGTGCCACTGAAGTAGATATAGCTGTGTTACATCTGGTGCATCAAGACAGAGTATGAGGTGAGGCTTCTGCTTGTAGAGATTCTTCTCGATTTTTTTTAAAAAAATTACAGCTTCTGTGAGGAAAGTAGCAACCTGTTCTGCTGCTTGGTAATAAATGGGGTAATAAATAGAGCAGTGGTCTTTGAGCTTAGCAGACCTAGCATCAAGCAGTGTTCAGTTCTGACAGCTCCTAGTCAGATCAACTTCAAAGATTTATGAAGGGTAAAATAAGATACAGCAAGACCTAACCTGAGCTCTTAACATGAGGAAGAGAGCAGAACAAAACTTGGGTGCTGATTTTTTTACTGGATGGGGTGCAGTCTGCATTGCACCTGTATTCTTTCCTCAGATGCATTCGCTAGGGTTTGTTGGTGCAAGATCTTTAAGCACTTTAGAGAGAGAGAATTCTGATGCACTCCTTCCTTCTGGCAATTGATCCCCTCTTTTAAGAAAGAGTGAATGGCCCAAGGTCACCCAGTGAATTTGGTGGGTATTTGAACCCAAGTCTTGCACCCCAAGGGCAAGACTCTATCCTTAATTAGACCCACAAGCGAATTCTTCATTTAACTTTTTACGTACTCAAACATCATAGTAAACTGGGTGTGGGGTATCTGTTGTTACACTTTGGCTATTATTGAACTCCCAACGCACATGTACCCCAGCTGACATGGACAATGGCCAAGGATGATGATAGCAAGAGGTCTGAATTGGCAAAATGTGGCTGGTGTCTTGACTCCAAACCATGATTTACAAAGCCCTTTCAAAGTGTGGTTTCAAATCACGGTTTGGAGGCAAGGTGCTAACCCAAGTTTTCTCATTTGGCTATTAACAGCAAATATAAAAGAACCAGGAAGTGGATGAGGGAACCGTGTGTCAGGAATGAGCCCATGGTATGTGCTTTCTGAACTGGGCCTCCAATTCTGTCAGGTGAGCAAACCATTTTCTGGGATTTTCTTGGGTCGGTGGGGCAATTTTTAGGAACTGGCATCAAAATTCTAGGTAACTGATGTGGTTACATGTTGATAACTTTTTCTTTTTTCAGCCTTTCACAAATGCTACCTACCTGCAGTGTAACTCTATGGAAACAGTGTCCCTATTTGTCTATTTCTGCAAAACCATAACCACAATGCACAGAGATTACCTGCATATTCACACATAAAAAATGCTTGGCGTGCTGGGCTATTTTAAACCCGAAGCAAATAATTCTTGTCTTGTTCCCCTGCTCTCTCAAGCCAGGTTGTGTCTTTTACATGCCAGCTGAAATCCTAATACATACTACACATGGATTTTTAAAAATCCTGATTTCTATGACTGGTGAAGTCATATGAGCTGGCCCACTACTTCAGTTCTTGGCCCTGTTTGCATACTCCTTCCTCTTTGTGTAGAAATCTGAACTGTTGAATTGTATGCCTGCTGTGGCTTCTCCAAGTGAAGAGTGTACGTGAATTTGGTACTGATGGGGATACAGATGCTGAGAGAAACACGTTAGCTGTTAGCTGATGTATGCCCAGCAAACTTCCACTGGTTATGCCAACTTTCCATCTTTGGAGTGCAAAGTCCAAATGCCAAAGAAATAGCCCACACTACTGAGTTTACCATCAGCCAGCTCCCCTCCACCATAGTGACTACACAATTTCCTGCATTCCTATTTCTATATCGCCATTCTTCCATATTGGAATACAAAGAAGTGTACATAGGGTTCCCAGACATTTTTCCATCCAGGCACTGACCAGACCCAGACCTGTTTAGCTTCAGCATGATTTACTACACCATATGCTCTGAGAAATGGTTTATGATATGAAATCCTGAAGAGCTCAGTTTGACAAATGTTGGTGGATTACTACTGTTCATTGGGGTTATTATTTGCCGATTGAGGGGTCTGTGTCTATTTAGTTTTTCTGTTTAAAATGGTACTTTGTTGTTGATGTCGCCTTTATTGTGTTGGTGTATTTTTTTATTAAAAAAACCAAACCCCAACGAATTGTATTTGTGGCATTGTAGGTTTTTGCTTTTATTGTGAGTCACACTTGTTAGGTGACATAGACATTAAATAAATTATAACAATAACAAACAGCTGATATGTTAGGGTTACCCTTGCCTAGTAGATGAGCAAGTGATGCGACTTGGAGATAAATTACTTCTTGTATCTAGAAGTACATCTCTCTTATCTCAAGGTCTGTTATAGCTCTGTTATAAGAGAGTGCTCCATTAATAGATAGGGGGCAAACAAACAAGCAGCACACCAAGGTATTTTCAGAGGAAATGACTCAAGCAAGTGATTCAAGACGTACACTTTTGAGAAAGCAAATATGCCCCAGGATCAAGGTTCAATCTGAAACAGGGAAATTATTTTAGGGGATTAGAACCTTTTTGCCTAATTAATAAAGGGGAAATTGTATTTGGAATTCTGATCCATTCTTTTCAGTCTGTATCTAGCTGTTGCACATCCACATAATCCAGCAGGAAAAGGTAAACACTTAGGGGTTGGGGGGGCATATGGTGTATGGCCTGTTACTGAGAAACCAAAATAAACTGCCATATTATTCAGGCTAGTTCATTTAGAATTCAACACAACCCCAAATGTTCAGTGTGAGTTGCACTATATTTTAATACCAGCCTTTTAAAATAAACATGCAAGGCACTATGTCTTCTTCAAATGCCACCTTTTCAGATTGCCTCAAAAATAGCTTTCCCTTATGAAGTTGCCGTGCTCCCCCAAGTTTTTAAGAGATAATGATCCACACAACAGGGTAAATGCATGTTGTTGCTTTCTCTGTTGCAGATGTTCTCAAACAGTGATGAGGCTGCAATCAACAAAAAACTTCCCAAAGAACTGCTGCTTCGGTAAGTCGCCTTTTGGCTTGTGCAAGTCTAGGAGTTTTGGTAATAGCTGAGTGAGCAGAGACCATAGTTGACTGTAAGTCAATAAAATCTGTAAATTCAACAAATTCTGAAGGTGGTGCAGAATTATGCAAACATCTCCCAAATCTTTTAATCTGTCAGTCAGGCTAGTTTTACTGAGTGTGGTTATGCCGTGCAGAATCAACAGGCATTAGGAACCTAAATAAGGTATATTGATATGTGCTTTGCCACTACCACTTCCTTAAGCAATGAGAAGTTCAGGGACAGTTCTATGTGGTTTGGTTTTCTTCGGCTGAAAAAAGCACAGGAGACTATGGGGTCTTTGTAATTAATCTATTTACCAATATGCAACAGTGTATTAGAAACAAGTAGACTCCTAAAAAGAAAGGCAGCATGACTGCTAATCTGCTTTAGATTCCCAAAGAGAGCAACTGTGGTCAAGGTGCTTCAGTTTGAGCCAACTCGCAGCTCAAAATTTGAATGAGGAAATTAAAACAAACTTTATAGATTTTTATGCCACTGCCATTGGCTTCCAAATGCAAGGGGGATCGTTTTCCAGCCATTCAGGATGGTTAATATTACAGTGTTGTGGTTTTTAGGTTCCTGAGCATCCTTTAGTGGTTTGTAGCCAGTAATAACTGGTTGACTGAGAGTTTGACGTGAATGTAATTTTAAAGATTTACACCCTGGCTTTAACTTCTGAAGTTTTATTAGATTTGATTGCTAGCAGTTAGATACAGTTGTTAATAATAAACTTATGTTGAAGCTAGAACTTGACCACTGGTTTATTGTTGGAACTACAAATAGACGAGTCAATCTGTTTCCAGTCTGTGACGCTTCACATGTGTTCACTTGTCGGTTGCTTCTGTCCAGTTTCCACATTGACCTGCATTAATTTTTTTTAAGATCTGCATGAAAATTTGCATCTCTCAAAACACTCATTTCTATATGGATTTTCTTGCACAATGCACATTCTAACAAATATTGGTACATTTTTAGAGCTAAGGACAACATTGGAACATTAGGAAAGTGAGCGTAAAAACTGTTGGAACTAAATCTGAACTGCACATTAGTCTGGGAGGTGTCAGTTCATATCAGAATTCATAAATATGGGATTCCTCAAGCATCCCTAGTTGGAACTATTGTTAAACGTGTCTCTTCTGCTGCACATACAAGGTACCTGAAGATGTCACACAAATAAACTCAGGAATTAAGAATACACATAGCCTAAAGAGGAAACAAAGAAAAATGTTTATTAGTGGTATTATTTTGTTAGCTCTTGGTAATGCAAATAGAGGAGGGATGGGAAACGTAATGCAAATAGAGGAGGGATGGGAAACATTTGCTATTAAAGTTGACACTGGAAATCCATTGTAAAGATGCAGAGCTGTGGCATATTGGCATATTCTAAAACGATTGAATTAACATACATTCGTGCTGTTTTCATACTTCCTAGTTATTCACTCATCCTATAATTCTCCTTTTCAAAAATCATGAACTACGTGTGAACTGATAGGAAGAGTTGAGTCAGTCTCTCAAATCTTGATTTATGGATTGTATGCTCTATTCTACTGCCTAAAATTTGATTCTATCAAGTCAGTGACAGATACTATATTCCTTATGAAAGTGTGAAAATAGTAAAGGGACAGCTATATACTTACAATGTTCAACCTACCATCTTGTGACTCCAACCTGTCTAATCTTTCATCGGATTGTACCAGTTTTACCTGCCTCTTTGCCGACTAAATGTCAGCAGTTTTTTTAAGGTGGCTTGTATGTGTTCATACCAGTGAGCAGTAGCAAGGACCTGCTTAAGTGTAAAGTGGTGGACTCTCATGTTAAACGTGAGATAAAAGAACCGGTAAAACAAACTTGCCAATCCAGTTAGCTCAGGTTACAGACATGGTAGATCAGCGATAGGCTGCTTTACATTGTTACAGCTCATTTTAAAGGTTGTGACATCATATACTGGCTGTTAGATAGCATCACTTGGCCTTTCTCTCCAGCTAGCAGAATAGTCAATACCTAAAGCTTACTTACTGATTATTTCGTTCTTAAATATTGGATTCTGTCTCTCAGACTTTTGGAGCTGATTTCTGGGAATTTCAAACATTTTTCCAACATCTCTGCTAGTACAGTGTACCAAAACTTTAGGTGATTAAAGTTATCTCTGGTTTCTTGAACTTTAGCCCACATTGCGGATCAGGGGGATAGAAGGTTTGTTTATTTTGGATATGGAAGATCAACTTAGCAGTGAAGCATATCAGACTAGCCTTCAGCAAATCACACACTCTGAGCTGAATCTTCACATAGTTGCTTTGAGGATTTGCTAAGTATTGTAACTTGCCTGAAGCGCTTCAGATATAATTAATAAAACTGCATTTTCATATATTTCCATTGCTGGATGTTTGTTAATCTGCGTACTGATCGCAGGGGTTTTGGTCTTGCAGGCCTCATGAAAACACCCCCGTTTGCTCATGTATTTGTATATTGCTTGCCCAGCTTTGTGTTATGAAGTTATTGATGTGCTCTGTTTTACCAAACACTTTGGTATGGCCATAGGGTCAACAGTTACCTGAGTTTTCACACTAGCAAGCCATTTGCTTGCAGTTGGAGAAGGTAGGGACAATTGAGACTAACCTGATTGTATCCTTCGTAGCCTAATTGTGTGGTTAAATTTTAGTTGTTAACTTAATGTGTTTTAGAATCGTCCTGAAAAATGTTCATTGAATTTCTTTACAATCAGATATTCAGGGGTATAACTGACTCCTTAGAAATAATCAGCACATGAGTTATCCTGTTTTAGCCTCACAACTCTATAAGGCTGCATACACTGAGAGCAGAGACTTGAACCCAAATCAAAGTCCACTACTCTGCTGTAGTCTAGCTCTCATATAAATCCTTCATGCAGTTGGCAGAGTTACTATGGAAAGCTGCATACTCGAGATTACATGGAGTTGCCACGGAATGATGCTTCCCTTAAAGGCAAAATGTAGATAAGCCCGGAGACCTCTTTACATCTAAGGAATGCGTATAGAAGCAAGCTGTTGCTTATGAAAGCTTTGCCACAATAAAATGATTAATTTTGGAGGTATTGCAAGCCACTTCTTATTTATTTATTTAGCAGCAGATTAATACGGCAGTCTTTCTGGAATTCCTCCTGAGAAGCTGAGTTCTGCATTCAGGGTTCTGCCAAACTTTGCTCTTGGGAACAAACGAGGAGGATTGAGTTTATAAAAAGCTAAACCATGAGCAAGAGTTTTGAGAACTGGAAACTTTCTGTTGTGCATACTGCGAAAATTCATTAATGCACATTGGCAGGGCAGCCTTTGAAAGGGAGTCTTATCAAGGGGACAGGCTTATAAATGGGCATCAGTTTCTGTCAGACAAAGGCTGGTGTGTTTTCATACAGCCCTGCTGTGTAAGTTCTTGTTCCCTCATTCCTTCATTCCAAAGAACGTCTCATGTACGGGGGTGTTGAGTGAAAAGCATTATTTTTCTCCCATTGAGTTGCAGTAGTGTGGACAACAGGTTGGCTTCTAATCATGATGACTTTGCACTGGGATTCCTACATTGTGTCTGACACTGGAGGTTTGTTTGCCCTTTCTGCTGCCACTTCATCATGCTCTGGCAACACAAGGGAGGAAAATAGGGGATAGGAGTACCATGCCAACACTGTTTGTTTTTTCTCGCTCTAACTCTTTTGCACACACACACACTCAATACAGATGGCAGCCACATAAATGTGCAGTGGTAAAGAAGGAAACACAGTATCATAACATTTGATGAGTTATGGTGCTAGTATTTGAACGGATCTGGAACCTCTTTGCTTTCCAGCACACCTGAGAACTAGAGGACAACTGTGTTGTCAGTCCATTAAATGTAGGCCAGAGCTTAGGCCTGAACAGTGGCATCCATCCCTGCATAAGAGATCATGTTGCGATGGTTCCTGCTCCCTTACCGTAGGCACTTCTTCAAGCCATGCAGCACTTTTCTATAGTGATGATTTTTGTCACTTCTTATTCTTGTGTGAAAGCTTTTTGTTTAATCTAGCCTTGTGGAAAATTGCAATAACGTAGCCCTTAATTAATTTTTGCCTGCCTTCACATACCTATCAATAACAGGGCAGCTTGGGTGGGTTTGGAGTTCCCAGTTAGAGGGACAAGAGGGGTTAGTGACTGCTCGAGTTTTCAGGGAGATCCTATTTTTGTGTCTGTTTGCCCTTGGCCTTAAAGGCTGGTTTTTTCTGTTGTTGTTAAGTATTTGTTGTTTAATCTCAACCTGATTGTATCTCTGGGGGATTGGTTTTTGGAGATGGCTGGGAAGCTATATTTGCATTGGAGAAAGAAGAGGGAGCCATTCCCATTTGTGAATGTGGTGAGCAAAAGTGAATATATAGCAGTGATATTAAAACAGGTCAGTCCAAGGGAAGGCTAGGCAGATACTTAAGATGTGCTACACAGTGGGACAACATGTTCGTTGAGCTATCCACTACTACCCCAAGGTCTCGTTCCTTGTCAGTCACCACCAGTTCAACCCCCCACATCACTGTATATGTCACTTTAAGATTATTATTTCTTTTGCCCCTACATGCATCGCTTTACGCTTGTTTACACTGAATTTCATTTACCATTTTACTGCCCATTCGCTCACTAAGACTGTTTGTTTCAAAAGAATAGCATTCAAAATTCGCCTGCCCCCCAAGATTCCCGTTCTCACACAAAGATCTACAGCATTATGTTGTCATTGCTAGAAAGTTCAGTGCTCTTGGTTTCAAACGTATGATCCAATGCACCCTATGAAGAGCTTCTGCCTGTATAGTTGTCCCTTGGGCTCTGCTTTTCCTATTGTGGCTCCCTGCAGTGCCCAAGAAGCAGTTTTCAAAACTGACAGGAACTTTGGAGAGCATTCTGTCTCCAATGCAGGATATAAGGAGATGTAAGAATCAGAACAGGAAACTGGGAAAGCCCCTTGATTTCTTT